GTGACATACAGGGTGCCAATATGGCATGATGACACCAGGCTGGTGAATGGGTCAGCAGAAGCTGAGAGACGAACGTCATTTAGCTTACTTGTTCGTCCTCTACCTCTATTTCTGTCTCATTATTGGATTTCAAGAGATTGTGTTCCTTCCTGATCTTTGGTCTTGGTCGATATCGGGTCAACACTAGAGCACGGTCAGACTATCGAGCACAATACGGGTAGTATCAATACGTGCGTTTGCGGGCATGATGCACCGAGTTTGGTTCAAACTTGGGACTCATAGGATTTGGATCAGCGCCATCTTTGGTCAGGAAGACATCAGCCCATAGTGCAGAGAGATTCTTTCGAACGGCCTATGTCTTCTCAGCGAACGAACGGGATAGAAACTGGACAAATGCCGACATACCCAAGGAATCTCAACATTTACTTCCTTGGTTCTAGCTTCATTCCAATCTCCAAATTGGATATCATCCCAAGTCCAGTGAGGGAACACGCTAGCATCGGTATCGAATTCCGCTTGTTTCCAGTTTTGTCGATTGGCAATGCCAAATACGTCTCCAATAGGTGAAGTGGAGAAATAAACATGCATGGATACATTTTGACCGGTACCCCAAGCTGGGAATGCTTGCTGTGGTGGTAGAGTGGACCAGTCGACGTCAGAATCAACCGGCATCCCTTGAGGTGTAGCAGGAGGGCCAGTAGGTGTTTTCTTCCCAAGGAAAAATGTCGAAACTATAGTTCAATGTTCGTTAACAAGCCCATCCTACTAGTTCTCTTAGAAGGTTTGTGCCTACTGAGTTGAGTCGCGGCATACACGAGAAGAACTCTCTGAACAAGACTCCATATTGTACTGGCAGATGATTCTTCTTGCTGCGGCCTTGCAGCAGGCTGTTGACGTTCGCTGTTGGCCGACATAGATTTTGGACTTTGCCGTAGCCGAGAGTCAACCTACGTGCGCCCAACAGCGCACCATTTGACAATCGTTCGAACTGGAGGTCATATACAAACATCTATAGAGCTGACTACGGGTCTCTCTAACAGAACTGAGTTCTATGATAAAGGCATCCCGGAGCCGCTTCCATCATAGTCCCCAATCTTAGCTCGCCTTCGATTTATCCTTCTCTTCAAGGGTCATATTTTTAACCCCATCAGGTAACTTCTTGCCTTGAACCACTTTCTGTGCTTCATCCCCTTTGGATGTATCTATCTCTTCTGTTGTCTCCGCCTCCATTATATCCTCTTGACGAATATTCATCACCTCCACGAACCATTTAGCGACATCGTCCGCTCCTGCAAGCTCGGCTTCACCTAATGGACTTAAGCCTGCGGCATTATGGGCATCAATAAGGAGAGGCCCAGGTCCATTTGGGTGGGAGACGAGTGCCTGAGCTACTGCAAGATGGGCATTTACTGCTGCCCAATGCAGCGGTGTGGAGCGACCAGTAGTGTTTTCGACTTGTAATAGCGATGTTTTTATGTTCGGTAAGACGCATTTCAGGAGATCTGACATTTTGGCAAAATTGGGTGGCATTCACAGAATTTTCGCAATGATGACCCGCCCACGACAAGAATGAATAGTGATAAAAGCATCGAGGCATGACATTAAGGAAAGAGAAGAGCGTTAGCTCTTTCTCATCGCCAAAAGATGATGACGGATGGAAAGGAAAATTAGGATATGGCTCCTGAGAGCCATCCTAGGATAGTCGAGCTTGTTCTTGATGTACTAACCAATGTGTCCATTTCCACAAATCATATGCAGTATTGTATTCCCGCTTTCGTCACGAACTTCATTCAAGGGCTCCCATCCATATTGTTCCACAAAGGTTTGGACGTCCTCCAGATCTCCATATCGACAGCTAAGTAAAAGGTCTTCCAGTTCTTCATGAGTGGGAGTTTTTTTAGTTTGATTGCTCGACATATTCAATATGGTAGTAGGTGCCAGAGGTGCCTCGATCATTTACGCCACCCTCGATTTGGACCATAAGGATAGTCGCGTCGTTTGGTTGCTGGTAGGTAAATCAATAAGACAAATTTTAACATTAAAGCTACACCTTAGAAGCACAAAAGGAGCCCACTGTGCGCATGGAAATCCTCGCATCTCTCGTAGTTTCTGTATCGGATAGGGTAGTATCTCCGCTATGATACCTTTCTATTGACGATCGTCCCCTCTTCATGATACGATGAGATGAAAGAACTCCTCTGCTTCTTCCGGTGCCAAATCTCAAGGGGCGCGTGTGGTTCGTATCAGTTCCTGTTTCTTGCTGGGAGCTAGAGTGTTCCACGACAGTGGCGGCGAATCAAACTTGATCCTTTGCCGCCTCTTCGAGTCGAACTCACCTCACGCCCTTGACGCTTGTACACTACAACGTGGCATATATCCATCATCCATAACTGGCTTGAATAACCCTCATAAACCAAAACTATGGTCTTCACCCTCCA